TCTGTTAGAATATGAACTCGCTGTAAATAACTAATAATAATGTTTACATATTATAGAATAATGTTTATATAATATAATAATGTCATTAGAAATAATGTTTACATTTTATAGAAGGTGATGTTCTCTTTGACGAATAATCAAAAACGAAGATTTTTAAATTATTATTAATCAAACTTCATTAGCTTGTCATGGGTTGAGTGGTCTCCTAAATTGTGTGAAGTAAGATGGACTCAAGATCACAGAAGTATCGACTCAGATAAATTTTACAACTTGAATAGGCTCAGCGCAAATATATTATAAATGCGGCGTAAAAATCATTTTTATACAATTTTCTAATTCACTCCATTCTTACGAAATTTCGAAAGCTTCGGATAAATAAGACAAAATGTCGTTGTTATCTCTCTCAAACCAGATTTTAATTACCTTCATGTTACTCCCCGCATTAATGAGACAAAGTCATTGAACATAAGTACGCATAACACACAAATGAAGCATAGTGTTAAAAAAATAAAATCTTAAACTAATCTCAAAAAATTGGCTCGACGATTTCCTGCAAGACGGTCAGTGCATCGTCTGCTAAACTTGGACAGTGCTAGTCGCGTGGCGGGGTCCAGAATTTTCCTGGCGTAACTCACGCTTCTTCAATCGCTGCGTGATTCTCTAACTGTGGAATATCATATATCAAATGGCATATATGGGACGCGTGAGTCTTCCAGATAGTACGCGAACTCTTTTGAGGTCGTGACCGATTTCAGTTAGAAATTTTCAACTTCACCGATGCATTAAATAGTTGCGTTGTGATTAAAATAAAATGCTACTAGTGTTACATATCATTGGCTAATATGAAGTAACTGAGGTACGAGATGGCTAAACGGGACCTCCAGGTAGAAAGTGATCACATAGATATCGGGAAACCATTCTTAATTACAAGACTAAAAACGCGGATACACCTTCTTGAACTGAAATATCTAATTAAAAATACTTAAGAAATTCAAACTTTGGCTTTCGCAGAACAAGCGTTGAGAACAAATCGGTCATGAACATCACGCGAATAACTAACAACAACGAACCAACGCATGAATGTTAGACAAAGTTATGACAGATTTGGATGTGCTCTGCGTTTTGACTGCTTATCAACAGCACGAGTTTCCTAAAGATTGCAATTTCCTTTACAGTATTGCAAGACATACTGTGTATGCTTAAAGTTAAAACGAGTCTCCTACGTTACTCAAAGTGAGGCACTCACAAATCGGAGCAAAGTAACAGCTCAAGATCACTGACTCATTTTCTTCTTTATTTTTCCTAAATAATTAAGAAATTATGTCAGTTAAACTACCTGAATTCCCTTCACCTTCCACGGTTCAATGCCTTACTTCTTAAGCCTCAGAATTCCCGAGCGATAAGAGAATCCGTTGCACGATCTCTGCTTGCCGCGCGCATGACGAGTGCCAGTGACCCAGGCTCTCCTTTCCGGCCGAAATAGCGCACTGATGATATTCTGTTGTGATGTCGATGCATTAATTCTCTGAACCGCATTTATAGACAACTTTAATACTCATTTACGATATTTATTATACTTGCCGACCCGTCCGAGCTTTATAGTGACATTGATACTAACATATCAACTTTAGCAATGCAACTCCTATTTCGACAGCAGCGCTATAAGCTCACTGATCTAGAAACTTGAAGCTCAATAAGATGAGATTAGAATTTCAAAATTCTTTAAGAATAATCAGCGAACGGACATTTAAATATACATGATTTAAGCACAGACTGTGAAAGAAAAACCTAGCATCTGACTTGATTGTGTCAAATCACAAATGTCTCAATTCGGCAGAAGTCTGGAATTTTTTTACATGTCCTCCAGGTCGCAGACTGGCACGATGACTTCCAAATTAATTACGATAATTTCGTTGCACTGCAGTGTAAACCATTTTAACTGTGATAAAAGAATGATCGGAAGAAAAAATTAGTTTATTTGAGAAAACCAAAAAAAAAATTAAAATTTGTTAATGCCTTAATATTCCGTCCATCGCTTGAATTATTGCCCCAAGGAAAATCAAATTTGTCCGTGAAGAAGCCAACGCAGTAGAACTTGGTCTAAATTGTGGGTCGCCTGTCGAAGACCACCACTGCCCTGGATGTAATGGACTATCATGATTCCTGCCTTCCGGAACGTAGCCTTCAACACTTCAAGTCGTCCGTATCTAGGCCGTGCGTCGAACTAGCCCTCGGTCGAACGGCCAGTTGTCGAAGGACGATAAATTTTGGAACAGAACTATGCTATCTGAAACCTAACCTCAGATGCGGTGAACGAAAAATTACGTAATTTAACGATGCCCGGAAGTCATATTCGATCCGCGGCCTGTTGGTGCACGGCAGGTTCTATGCAAGGCTGGAGGAGGACGAAGCCGAGTGGTTCACGGCTGATTGATGGATGTCCGGAGAAATCCATAGCGTTCGATTCAAGGCTTGTTTGTGCACAAAACTGGTGGTGCACGGCTGCGCTCCCTAAATTGTTCATTCTTTTCCCCGCATTAATACGAAAAGCCCAGGAGTGCATGAAAGTGGTCACGGAGCAACTCTGCTCTCGGCTCGCTGCTGCTTCTTCTGTTGGCTTGCCCTATTACACTTTGCAGCTGTATGTGCGGTGTCGTTCGGAAGATTATACAAAGAATAATAAGTAACAGCGAAAGTTAAGAAAATAATTAAAAAATTAAAATACGCGACCAAAAAGTCACTGGCGCATGATTAGGTTCATTGTAAGTGCATCGGGTTGACTTGGGCTTGGTTGGGAACTGGACTGAAACCGACTGGGGCTATGGAGGGGATAGTTGGCTGGGAGGTTGATGATGGATCTATTTTATTGCTACTTAAATTTTGAGGAGATTCAAGAAAAGAATTAGATTCTGCATACTCCTTTTTAATCTCAATAATATAATTAATTTTTAGAATCCTTCAAATATAGAAGTTTTGTATGCTTGTTCTATTGTAATTGATTATTGTGGTTGCAGTCAGAGGTGTGGGTCGGAATTCGGGGTTGGGTACGGTTGGTTATCTTCTTTAAATTCAGTTAAGTAGTTATGTTCCTGACAATATTATGCAGTTGCGTAATTTGCTAATCATCTTTGTTTTGCTATCGACAAGGATGTGTGCTATTCACAATAATTAAATAGATATTGGCGCCATCACTGCGAACGTCATTGGGCAGTTAACAGATGAACGCTGGAACACAATTTCGCCAATTCCGGGTTAACAAATTCTCTGAAAAAGCTGGCCTTTAGTAGTTTAAAATTTTTGCACAATTTTTGAAAAATTTGGGACTGGGTAAATCTTTATTCCTAACGAACGTTTACCAGCTCATGATAACATCCTATCTCCGGAGCTTCTACTCCATAGATTTTCGATATTGAAAGGTTACGAATGTTGTTTTTGATTAATGTGTGGAGCTGTTGGTAACGAGCTTCTCTCGAACCATTATGTACCTGCGATACTAACGTGTATGATAGTAGCACGACTTGGGCAGGGTGGCCCAGTGGTTACAGTTCAGAGTACCAAGATTGGAGCAGAGAGGCGCGGGTTCGATCCCAGCTCTGTGCGCCAGTTTCTGGTCAGAATCGGCGAGGAGGCCGGGCGGTTAAGCATAGCAGAATTGTAGCAGTGAGTTGCGAGTTCGAGACCGCAAAATGCTGTGAACGTTCTGCGATGTTAAGAATCGGCGACAGGCCTACGGCCTAATAAACGCTGAAACCGCTATTATTATTATTGTCTGTATGCATATTTTATCTTCGTCGGGCGTAGACCCTAAATCCGCCTCCGCCGTGGTCAGTACATGTTCTTAGCCGACCAGTGTTTTACTATCTGTGTTGTTCAGTGGTAACGCTTATACAATTAATGATTTCAATTATAGTTTAAAGTAATGTTTAATAGTCTATTTGGTGTGAAATATAATCGCGATGTTCAAATTGTAAGAATAGCATTTAATTTCATGTTTCTAAAAGAATTCTCATTCATTTACCGTATAAAACTGAATAAAAAAGCAAATTCCGAAGAGCGTCTTTAAAGCGTACAATAAATCTCAGAAGTGCTGATTGCCAATAAATGAAGTTTGATCACTTCGGGCCCTGTAAGCCATTAGCAGCGTAATGAGAAAAAGATTTCAGTCATCATCATCAATCAAGTTAACGATTCCGCTTTCTGGCAGAATTTTGACTGAACTAAAGCCTGACTTATGTCTTCAACACATGAAATGTGTCAATAATTTACATATATTTAGTGGAACAACTTACAAATTTGTTATTTGAAAGCCTTGTACTTCAATGAAATATTGCAGACGAGCTCTACTAATTGCGAAGTATGCGTTTTCGATTTCTGCTTTTAACGTTCATTGCAATGTCTATTAAATTCTTAATTTATTATTAGAATATATTAAAGCTCTTAATCAGTTCTTTCACAATTCATTTGGAAATTTTCACAAATTAATTGTTCTTATGCAGCTGAAAATAAAAATAGAAATGTTACAGATAACTCATCGTACGATAATAGCGAGAGCCATCTTGTTAGAGCAATAGATACTGACAAAGAGAGAGTGTACTTTAGGGTGTTTAATCATGAGCGATATTGTTGTGGATGCAACAACAACACACGGCAAGGTGCATATAAGTATTCATAAGATGAGAAAAAAAATACGTTTAATGGCACGTCACCCAAAAACGCATACACACCTGCGGAAGATTTGGAACTAAGCTCGATGGTATAGATTTTACGATCAAAAACGACTCAATCATCGTTAGCAATGATCGAATTAGGAATATAAGTTGATATTAAGCTGCTATGAGCAGCATGTTAGGAACGATCGCTTCCAAAACGATGGCAAACATTTGTAGTGTCGCCTTAATGTTCGCATATACATTAAACTCATGGAATGCACTCAAGCGAAAAAGGGCAAATTCGGGGTATTTCTAGAGGTGCTGCTGCGTATTTTCGTCACAATGCTGAGGCTCTCGACACGGGCGGCCTGAAGGAGACGAATGAAAAATACGAATTTAACTTCGTGCTTTTTTCGAGGTAATAGTATATGAAAGATATGTCCCTCACGGATATAATTCGTTGGATAATACTTATAATTATTGCTTAGTGATGAAAAAATAACGTTTAACTTCGTACAAATCACTAAATGAATCCATTTCACCGCGTGAACAATCGGCTTCTTCGCAGGCTTTTCAGGACAAAATGTGGTTGAAGGTTTTGACATTGGCGTGCGTCGTAAACACGTTGCTGCCGTCCATGGCAGTGAACTCATCATTGGTCGACAATTTGTGGAAGATTGTACCTGGCGATGTCTCATCCGCCCCGGCAACCGACAAACTTCAATTCACTTCGCCATCGCTTGTTGTCTGCGCTGCTCAGGCTACTGCTGCTCAAAGCAGCTTCTTCTGCCACGACAAAGTCACGTGCGTCATCATCACAAAGAGTATATTAACTGGATACCTCGGTGTTCCATCAGCTTCGCTGGAATGGAAGTGCTACTTAACAGGTAAATCTCGAAGAAGACAAAGACCAGACTTGTATTAAAATTAGATTTAACAGAGAAACCCGTGATTGTGCTACACAAGGCCTCAGTAATAGATGATTTTTCAAAATTTATTAAACAAATAGCTTGATTTTATGAATATATTTTGTAGATATAACCGCTCATTCTCTTTTATCTAAAAAGTAATTATTGTTAGTTGCATTGCTGTCAATGGAGTATACAGCACATTTTTTATGGCATCACAGGCCCGTGGTGCCGTCCCCCCTTCATGCAAGTACGGGACTTGGGCTGCCTTCAGTTCGACATCAACAATTTGATGAATTTCTCAGCTGCGAGGACCTCCTGCCCGCCCCCCGCCACCCTCTGGTACCCCAAGTCCGACCAACAGGCTGCAACCATCGCCGACTACCTCACCAACCAAAGTGAGTACTCAATGTGTTGTTTCGGTTTTAAGGCTTACTCATCGATCATTGAAAATAGTGAGTTTTGCATAGTTGTGAATAAAAATTCCTATTCCTTGATAATCATTCCTCGTTGTTTAGTTTCGCCTTCGGTCTGAAATCCGTGAACTTCACACCAAGTAAAACTGATGCATTGGTATGACGACAATTTCAATTTATCGTCGTTAAAGGGAAGCTGTAAAATTTCATCTTTTCATATCAATACGAAACTCCACAACAAAGTATTTTAGGAAATATTTTTCATCGAAACATACCACAAATCAGAGAAATTTTGAAATTTCAGGGTACCCTGCCCCCGCTGGAGGAGTGTGTGGATCTTCGGTCCCTCTGCCGGACGGTTACCCTGGTCCCTGCCGCCCTACTGGAACAGCCACCTGCTGCAACGCGACAGGTGTTTGTGGAGGTACCACCGCCGACTGCACCTGCCCTACGTGTATCAACTACAGGAGTAATTTCATTTTTTCTTCCTGAATATATATATAATAAATATATGTTACACGCAAAATTATTGGATTACAGTTTTCTTCATATCTCAAGTTGACGTGCAAGATAATATTTTACCTAATACTTGGTCACTTTATTGCAAATGATACTAGAAACATTGTATAGAATGGATATTGAAAAGTAAGCAGTGTTTAGATTTATTAAACAAAATAGAAAAATTAACCCAAGCATAAGTATTGGGTACATGTTCAAAAATGAACAAATACAACTTTTTTAAAAATACTAAAAATTCGCATTTCACTTTATACGTTCCACTAATCTCATATCGTTATCTAACTGGCCAATCACATCAGTTAGCCAGTTTGCCATTGTTTGCAAGATTTTGTGTTACGGTGAAGATATTTATCAGCTTCATCTTTAAAATTTAATTTAAAATGCCTAAAACTCGAGAGTTGGCGACAGATTTGCGTCAAAAGATCATCGATTGTCACAAGAAAGGGGAGGGGTGTCGAATAGTAGCCAAGGAGCTTGATCTTTCATCAAGAACAGTTGGAAATATCATCAGGAAGCTATCATCCTGATTATATCATCCGAGCATGCTGCTGCTAACCTTCCAAGACCTGGTCGTCCATGTAAAATAATAGACGATAATGATAAGTGGATTAGTAGACAGGTACAGAAGAACCCGTTTTTTTCTCGCGGTGAAATTAAAAGTGACCTAGAGGAACCTAGGATTGATGTAGAAAATTACACAAACAGCAGAGCTCTAAATCGTACTGGTCTTATGTCAAGATTCGATCAAATTCCTTTTGCAAAGTTCGATTTTTGGTTTGTCCGACCAGGATTTTGTCTGATTTCACAATTCTTTTGGTTTTTCAATTGTCGGTACTTCAACAGAGGAACCTTTCATGAGGATCTCGACATAAGACCAATACGATTTAAAGCTCTGCTGATAGTGTAATTTTCTACATCATTCCCAGCTTCCTCCAGGTCACTTTTATTCTTACCACTAGTAACAAACGGTTTCTTCTGTGCCTTTCTACTAATTCACCTTTCATTACCGTCTGTTAGTTTTCTTGGCCAATCAGGTCTTGGAAGGTTAGAAACAGCATGCTCGGATAAAACCATCAGGATGATAGCTTCCTGATGATATTTCCAATTGTACTTAATGATAGACCAAGCTCCTTGGATATTATTCGATATACCCCTTCCCTTTGTTGTAAAAATCGACGATCTTTTGCCGCAAATCTGTCGTCAATGCTCGAGTTTTAGCCATTTTAAATAAATTTTAAATACGAAGCTGATTAATATCTTCACTGTAACACAAAATCTTGTAAACAATGGCAAACTGATATGATTGGCCGTATAGATAACGATATGAGATTAATGGAACGTCTAAAATGAAATGCGAATTTTGAGTATTTTTAAAAAAGTTATTTCTGTTCATTTATGCACATGTATACCCAATACTTTTGCTTGGGTTAATTTTTCTATTTTGTTGAATAAAATCTTGACACTGCTTACTTTTCAATATCCTTTCTACATAATGTTTCTAGTATCATTAGCAATATACTGATCATATATTAGGTAAAATATCGCACTTTAAATTGAGATATAAAGAAAACTACAATGAATCCAATACTTTTGGGTGTGGTTTTGAACACAAACTGTCCATGATATTCAACATTTGAGTGTCAAGATCCGTCATCTGGCAACATGTGTGATAATTTGGATAACAATGAATTGCACTTATGACCAGTTATTCATTTGACAAAGGCTTTATTGGTAATGCCCTTTGTAACAGCTGTAGCCAAGGCCTTCTGGACGGGATTCCAAAGAAAAGCCGGCGTCTGGACGTACGACGACAACCGCACCGTCATGGACACTCTGGGCGTGGCTCCCTGGGGTCCCATTGACCCGAAAAATACTTACGACTGTGCCGCGATCTTCTTCGCTCCCGCATATAATACCTACTACCAGTATTCGGATGTGAACTGCACCGCTTCTAGTTATGCCAGCATCTGCCTGTGGCCAGAACTAGCCTGAGCAAATCTATCAGTCCTTGACACTGAGACATTCATTAACAGGGCCAAGAAGTCCTTCACCATTGCCTCTGAACGAGTGAATTTTGACCATTCTACGTCTCTCACCTTCTGCACCGATAATTTGAGAAAATTATAAAGATATTTATTTGAATTTTGTGCTTTATTTACTACTTTCAAATCTCACTATAGCTAGTTTTAAAGTATCAATTATATGTGTTCAAACAAGAAGTGACTTCGCAATAAACTCTCAATTGGACGATGTTGCGCACTCCTTAGACTATTGAAAATAGACTGAATTAATTTCGATTACCAGGATTGCAACGCACTCGAGACCGGCACATTTAAGTTCATAACTTCTATGTATTCTAGAATCTGGATGAACGGCGTACACAACTGCTATTGATTTTGGTTCTCGTTTTTGGCAAGATTAGAAACAATGTGCATAAGATTTGAAACAATGTGCATATTTCATGCAGTTAAGTAATTGGATAATCGCCTTGTTGTGCCGTTTACCGGGCCAAGTATTATTCACAATAATCAGATCTCGGCGCCATCACTGCGAGCGTCATCGGGCAGTTCTAAATCTAGTAAATTATTTCTAAATCAAGTTCCAGATTCATGATTGCAAGGTCGCATACGTCTAACTTGTCACTCCTCCATCTTGACCCACGAACTCAATTTTTTTCGAGACTTTTTTATCCCAATTCCAAGTGATTGATTTATTAATAAGGGATGAATTTATAAATTCTGAATTATGGAGAGTTTTCTATGCAAATAACCCATTAAATTGTACTGATTCTTATGACCCGACGTCTGCCTCGTAACATATACAAGACGTGCAGAAATGAAATTTGCACGTCTTTGACATTTGAAATTTGGAAATGACATAAGTACGTAGAAAAGGTATCGTAGATACGGTTCAAAACAAAACTTGAAACTATTTATTGAACAACTTCAACGTGGTTTTCAAATTGATAGCTGGAGACTCATCCTTGATGACGAGTCTCTGATAGTCTTGATAGCCTCAGTTTTTGCCAGTCATATAGTATCGGGGCACCGCATGATGATGCTGCAGTGGAGGCTTCCAATGTCGCGCGGGTGATGGCTTCGCTGTGAGCCTCCCTCATATGGTTCTTTGGCCCTCCAGTTTAATTATAGGTGGCATATGAGTCGATGTCGCAAGGTTGTGCAGGCTAAACCGATATAATTTACAACTTGGAGGTCTACAACCTTCTTTCGTGCCGGAAAATCTGTAAATAACATTGGTTTCTTGCAGTGGTCCCGATTTTAAACGTGGTTTAGTTTTCATGATTAAATTCTTGATTTGCTTGTTTTTGTAGTTGTGACAATAAGGTAACAGAACGAAATGATAGTTTGTTTACTTTATTTTTTTATTATTATAACTGCATATAATCAGGAGCAAAAAATGATACTATGATCATCATTGCCCCATTTTGCGTTGTGCAGTTAATGCTATTTTGTACAATTGAATTGAGGACTCTTTCATCTGTCCCATAACTAATGTTTATCTGGTTTTGATAGCGAATTCTGGTGCGCAGTCTTTCAATGTGGATTCATACGTTTGTTTTAGATATGCTCGAAAATTTGAAATTTCTGTGTTGATAGTTTTGTTCGCATAACCGTTGTTTAAGAGAATTTTCTTACAGGTCCGGAGTTCAGCTTTGAAGTCACGAGCGTTCAATGTATGAGGGTGCGTATATATGATGCTGATTTTGTAGAGGAGGGGACATTCGCATTCTTCGTTCAGGACCTTTCCAACGTCCGTAGGTTTCCGATAAATTTTTGTGAAGAACGAAAGAACCTGTATGTTCAGGAAAGGAAAGGAAACCATCCATCATTTGATCTTCGTCTCAAGTGATAACGAAGATGTCGTCGATATATCGACAGTAAAGATCGGATTTAATATGTGAATCTAACAACATTTGGTTTTCGAATTCACACATGTAGAATTCGACGAATGTTGGACCATGAGGACTTCCCATGGCTACATCGTTTATTTGCTGATATATTTTGTTATCTGGAGTCCGGGAAGGCGATTCTGAAGTACAGAGGCGGAGGAGATCAAGTGAAATATTTTCAGGGATTGATGAGGCCGGCAAAGTTTCATTAGAGTAGACATGTTAGAGTAGAATAGAATAGAAGTGTCGGCGTTGAAGACATAGGCCCATGGCCTGTTGCCGATTCTTGAACTTTTCGTGACTTGATTCACAAGGGATCCGGCATTTGGAACCCGATCTTTCCATAACTGACATAACTGATTGATTGAGATAGCTGCTGGACTTATTGCCTGCTCCGTAATTTGCTAGGCATTTTAAGACTGAACATATGCTCCTGCATAGCTTCGTCTAAACTGTGTTAGCTGTATTTATTAATTTGTTAGCTCTCCATTGAAGTTATTCTATAGGGTCTCGTCCGACGCGACGGAATTTTGGATATGGTTTCACTTGTTTGTGATATATTGTCAGTTTTCTCCAAAATAGCGAAGATGTTGCTCTTTTCAGCTTTCCTAATTACAATTTTTGTTGTTATCTCTTAATTGTTTTGCTCTCAGGTGTAAAGCTGGGGTTAGGATGAGGTCGGCGAACCTCACTGCGGCTTCGGCTCGTAATTGATCTTTTAGGTCAGGGTTGATGTTGATTTTAACTTCGTTTTTGAGTTTCATAAAGGAATCCTTTAGCAACTCGTGTTCAATTTTATTCTTGGTTTTGCTGAATTTGGACATTAAAATACAATTCAGTCCAAGGTTCAGAAATTCCCTTTGCTCCTTGCTCAGGGTGTAAGAGGAGAAGTTGATGAATCCTTCCGTAATATTCGGTAGACAGATGTCCCATCTGTTCTGCGAAAATTGAGTTTGAGTTTGCGAAAAGTCCGAAGATTCGCACTTTCGTCGTAGGAGTCACGGAGCTTGTTTAATTCATCAGTGATCTTTAAACAGAGTTCGGGGCTTGGGATGTAAGAGGTAGACGCTAAATATTCTTCGAGTTTTCGAGCTTCAGATTTTCAAATGTCGAAAGTATTAATTTTGCATCTTGCAGGTGCAATATTATGATGCCCGATTTTAATGATGAAGCAGGAGTGAATCAAATTATAATGTCAATGGAAACAATTCTGTTCTGAAATTGATAAGATTTCTCCTCAACAATCAAGAGCTACAGAAATTGATTACAGAAATTGATTTTATTTTCAACATTCACGAATGAGCCACTGGACGTCAGGCTTCAAAAAAAATCGAAGTGATAACTTTACCAGCTCCAGCTGATTTAATATTCAGATTCTTCTACTCAACTTATGTTAGCCGTTACTAACTTTGTCCTTACCTTGAACTTGATAATTTCTCTTCGGTCTTGAAATCCAATCAAAATTCGGCATTTAACACGCTCAATTTAATCACCCAAATTTTGATCACTTGAGATCACAAACATGATAGGAAGTAAATATTATATTTCTTCAAACATATAACCTTTTGGGCTGCTTATCATGGTCAGAATTAAAATTTTTACTGAATAACTAAAAAAATCTAACTGGTCAACTTTGTGCGAGCTTGCGCTCATCAACATCTCTCAAAATGTACGATTTTTAATTTCGCCTATAGTTCGTTTATTGTTGTTAGAACAATAATTGAAGAACCAGTTTTTGTTTTTATATTATAATTATACATGGCTTAAATAGTAAAGTTGCGGCCCAGCATTCATCATGATGAACCCACCGTTCTGTTTGAACTTTTGTAGTCGAACCGCAGTTATTTTTAATTTATTCACCGAACTTTTTCATCATGAAACCAATCATTGATAGCAGGTGTATAATATAAATAATTAGAAACCAGTGTGTAATTGTGTATGGATGAGAATATATTATTGTATTAATAAATAAACGAGCCTATTATAAGGTTATGTAATGACGCTGCATTAAAAAAACTTTACTGTATGCCGAAAGAATATATAATATTTCTAAAACATTTCCTGCGCACCTTGTGTGAATTTTTATACTGTGACGTATGTATTTTCACTCTTAATGATAAATAACGGCCTGCTATCAAATGCAGTACACCATTAATGCCGAGCCATAGGCCCAAATGGCAGCATTAATCCCTATGCTTACTGAAATATAGTGACATATACCACTATAGTGATGTGGAATGAACAATATATACAAAAATGTATTCATATAACTTTGCTTAGAGTCAATTCATTTTTTTTATTTCGTGTACGTCGTTTAATCAGGTCGTGGCGGTTAAAATGTGGACGGCCATTTGGTTAGCAAATAAAACTACTGTGTGGCAAGACAATGTAAGCAAAAACGGGTTCTTTAGTTCAATTTATATTAGACAGACCTCCTCCATTAATATTAATATGTAATTGAAAACCTTATGAAGAATAATTCTTTTACTGCACATGCTGGCAGCTTCTATTCAAGCATGAATCAATGCGAACCAAAATGAGAGGCAGTTGTACATGGCGTGTATACCTCATTATCCTTTGTCTTGGAATTGATCCAATGAACACCGTGGTTGACAAGGCAAATAAATAGCGAGCTCTGAGCTAAAATCATGTGAGATTTCCTGGGCATTCCATATTATCTTCTGAAGATCCAAATCACAGACCCAGTGCAATACACATTGACTTCTCGTTTAAGAATATCAATGTTCACAGACGTTATCAATATTTAATAAATCACTGTCAGTGATCTCGGGGCTGCGTCTGACTGATAATCTATATGTGCTGACTCGGAGGGAAGTATCATGATAAAATATTAAATCCATTCGTGCTGTAATAGCGAATTTTCATTTTTGTTTTCTTATTATTTTTTATTCGTGGTATTTATGTTCATCGTGGTCACAGACTAAATATATTTTCATTTTAAATTTCAAATTAAATGCGTAATTTCACAACATACGTGATAAATTCAATATATAGATGAAACACCTGAAAGTTTGTGTAAAATGACTTAAGTATTACGAGTCTCTGAAAAATGTATGGAAAAAGTGGGTAAAAATATTTGTGAAATGCATGATAAGTATAAGGAAACGTATGTCAAATGTATGAAACATGGAAGAAAAATTTCTGAAAAATGCATGGAAAAGTATGCGATACATGTCGTTGAAAAAACCGAGCTCCAGTTAAATTGCATTGACGTCTGCTTCTTAGGCACAAAGAATACGACGACG